CATAGGGATGCTGGGGGACATGGGGACCAGGACATGTGCATAGGGATGCTGGGGGACATGGGGACCAGGACATGTGCATAGGGATGCTGGGGGACATGGGGACCAGGACATGTGCATAGGGATGCTGGGGGACATGGGGACCAGGACATGTGCATAGGGATGCTGGGGGACATGGGGACCAGGACATGTGCATAGGGATGCTGGGGGACATGGGGACCAGGACATGTGCATAGGGATGCTGGGGGACATGGGGACCAGGACATGTGCATAGGGATGCTGGGGGACATGGGGACCAGGACATGTGCATAGGGATGCTGGGGGACATGGGGACCAGGACATGTGCATAGGGATGCTGGGGGACATGGGGACCAGGACATGTGCATAGGGATGCTGGGGGACATGGGGACCAGGACATGTGCATAGGGATGCTGGGGGACATGGGGACCAGGACATGTGCATAGGGATGCTGGGGGACATGGGGACCAGGACATGTGCATAGGGATGCTGGGGGACATGGGGACCAGGACATGTGCATAGGGATGCTGGGGGACATGGGGACCAGGACATGTGCATAGGGATGCTGGGGGACATGGGGACCAGGACATGTGCATAGGGATGCTGGGGGACATGGGGACCAGGACATGTTGCTGGCCCGAGCGTGGCCGTGGCCGCACAACGGGGCTGGGCTCCCGCCAAGCCCACTGCTGTCCCGTGAGCCCCTGGGCCAGGGTGGGACCATGGCCACCCCAGGGTGGCCCCACCACCAGGCCGAGAGGCAGCACCCAGCTGCTCCCTGCAGCCTTCCAGCAATAGCTGTGAATGCTGGCAGCCAGGGCCCTTCCCAGCTCTCCCCAAACGCATACCAGGTAAAACTGCAGTTTGGGGGTGAGGATGGAGGTCTGGGAGCAGCAGGGACTGCTCCGGTGGCCTGAGCCATCATTTCGTTCCCATGCCCATGTGCCGCAGCATTTCACTTCATGCTGGCACAGCCGTGGTGGGCACAGGCTGCCCATGCACCTGGGGGTGTCGAGGAGTAACACTGCTCGTGGCAGGCATCCACGAAGCATGTTGCGAAATAAAGCCACGTCTTGAATCCCATCAGCTCCATCCCCAGCCCCTACAGCGCAGTTCCCTCCAGGTCCTTAATGGGGCATTGACTCCAGTCCCTCTTCTGTGAAATGACCTTCCTCCCTGCAGAAAAACACGTGAAGCTCGTGGCACTTTTCAGGTTTTACAGTTCCTCGCTAAAGTCATGTTCTCAGCAAAACCAGCCCAGGCACGTGGGCTGCATCCCTCAGTGGGGCTCCGGCTGCCTGTGTTGCAAATGGTTATCTGCTGCTGTGGGAAGCGATGTGCCCAAACCCAAGAACCCTCAAAATGTGCACAGGCTGGGCGTGCAGAGCTGAGCAGGCACCCCCCATTGCAGGGGAAGCGGGACTGCAGGAGAAGCGACCCGAACCAAGCCAGAGTGGGACATGTTGTCCTTCCCCCTGCCTGTGCCCTCTCCCTGAAGCCATCCCGCTAGGAGAGGAGGGACTTCTCTGTGCTGGAGCAGCTGGTCCTGTGCAAAAACAGTGGCCCCGAGGTGGTGACTTCCCTGTTTCAGCAGCGTATGTGTCCAAAAGGGAAATGCAACCCAGGGCTGCAGTGCTTTGAGGCCCCATGGCTGTGCCTGTGCGGAGGGCGGCCGTGCCTGCCCTGCGGGGCACTCCAGGAGTTGGGGTGCAACCCAGCAGGAGGTGGCAGATCCACCCACTGGGAACAGTGGGGCTGGGTGCCCCCAGTGTCGCCAGGCCACGCTGCAGCCCTCCGGGCTTCTCAGCCTCAGGCTTCTGGGTCAGAGCAGGAGCAGCAGGAGCTCGCAGAGGAGGAGGACTGGTGCTGAGGAGGCGGCAGGCACCCTGCTGTGGGGCCTGTCGGGCACATCTGCATGAAAGTAGGGACCCCATGGGATGGACCTGGCTGTCACCCACTAGGCTGGACCCCAGGTGGTGGGGACAGGCAAGGGACAGCCTCTGTGCAGTTCCTCCTCTGGCTTGGCCATCTCCCATCATGGGTCTCATTTCCCTGAGAAGCTCCTCTGGGTCAGAGCAGGAGCAGCAGGAGCTCGCAGAGGAGGGGGACTGGTGCTGAGGAGGCGGCAGGCACCCTGCTGTGGGGCCTGTCGGGCACATCTGCATGAAAGTAGGGACCCCATGGGATGGACCTGGCTGTCACCCACTAGGCTGGACCCCAGGTGGTGGGGACAGGCAAGGGACAGCCTCTGTGCAGTTCCTCCTCTGGCTTGGCCATCTCCCATCATGGGTCTCATTTCCCTGAGAAGCTCCTCCTGGGGGCTGAGGACAGCTGGGAGCAGCATCTGTGTGTCCTGCTGGCACAGGACAGGGCCTGGGGACCCACTGGGTACCCACATGCCCGAAGCAGCTGGGACAGATGCACACTGGGATGGCGCAGTCATGAGCAATCCCCAGAGCTGCCTGCTGCACGCCAGGATCAAAGCAAATTTCACTACGTGGGGGGAAAAAAAAAAAAAGATACCTGGGATATACATGAAAGGACGGCTCTCTTCCAAGCCTTAATTAGGCAGGGAGACATCTGACTGAGGAATTAAGGGAACTGTGCCGTGCCCCAAGGTGCTGCCTGCAAGCACTGCACCAGGAGGACCACAGCCCTAATCTAGCCCTCGGATCTGCTCTCGAAGACCAAATAACAGGATATTGGGCTGAGGCTGGGATCTCCTTCTCCCTTGGGTGTTTGCTGCTTAGGGTACTTCTACTTGACTCCTTGTAGGCTGCACCTTGGCTCTGATCCGTGATGTTTGCTCTCTGTAGACTTTTCCTCTCGCTGCGAGCAGAGCCAAGCCAGTCCCGTAGTGTTTCTGTGTTTTCTCTGGCAGTTACTGCCCTTGGCTGCTGGCTTGCCTTCAGAGGTGTAGTTTTGTACAAGTGTTCTTGCAAAATAAACCTGACCGTCCTCTCCACAGCCATTCCACAGCTCACACTGTTTCACCCGCTGGCAAACAGGAGGTGCGGCAGCACCCGAACATCACCGTGTGCCCCAGCTCCGACCATGGGGCAGGTGGGGCACGGACCCCGCTGAGCGAGGGCAGGCAGGGACCTCTGGCAGAGCTATTACTGATTCATGCCCGTTTCCGCAGCCCGTGGTCAACCACCTCCTCCCAGCATAGCCCCCCTGCAACGGGGCTCACAGAGCTTCAAGCCAAGCTGCACGGGGAAGCCTGCTGCTGCACCGAGAGCCCCGGCGCTGCATCAGCCCCTCCGGCCAGCCTGGCCACCTACCCACAGCAAATCCTTGGGGCCAGCAGCCTGGCTCAGGTGCAGGGAGGAGGATTGCCGACCCCCACATGACGTGCAGCTGCGGCCCTGGCATGCTGCTTTTGCTCATGGCGCTGCCAGAAGTGGTTGCAGATGACAATCTGGCTGCACGGCATGTGCTGCGAGTGGCTCGTGGGCCCGAGGAAACCTCTCTGAATCAGAAAAACAAGTGCGTGAGCTTTTCATCGTCTTTAAAGCCTGCGGCTGCGGAGCAATGTCCCATTGAGCAAGCCCAGCTCCAGCCCAGCCATGATTCACCCCAGGTTGCTTTGGCTGCGGTTTGCAGAGCGGATGTTGTCCCCAAAATCTGGCATTTTTCAGTGGTGATGGAGAATGTTCACCAGCTCTGCTGTCATGGAGGGGGCCGTGCTCCAGCACGGAGACTGGCAGCAGCTTTTCCCACACCTGGAGCCATCCTGGCAGAGCCAGCGCAGGATTCCTGGCCGGGGTGGGGAGAGGCACGGAGCCGCTGCAGGAGGGAGGCTCCAAAAGGACGCGAGGGGGTTGCTGTCATGGGCCAGGACATGCTCTGTCGTCCCCCCCCACCCTTTTGGCTGGAACATGCCGCTCTCACCACACCTCTGGGACCCGGCGGCGCTGACACCGCTGTGAACTGCGGGAGGAGGCAGCCCGGCCAACCCCGGCATGCTGCCAAACCCGCCTCGGAGGAGCGCTCAGCCACAACATGCCATCGAGCCCCACACCAGGAAGAGCCCTGGCAAAGTGAACTTCTCCTGACTGCCCATGTCAGCTGGAGAGACGGGGCAGAACCTGCGGCATGGAGCATCCTCCTGGCCCCATGGCCACAGCGCCTGCGAGCAGCCCTGTATCCCCCTGGGTTGCACCAGGCACGGCATGGGACTGCTCTCTTGGGCACTTGCAAAGTTTGCAGCAGAGCAGAGTGTGGAGCTACTGACACAGGAGTAGCCCAGAGGATGCTCCAGCTGCGCTGCCATGCAGCCCCCTTTGCAAAAGTTCCCATCTTGCAAAAAACCGAACGGGTGGTCCGACCTTAATTTGTCTGAGATAAATAAGAACCTGCCTGCTGCCTTCCGCCTAGCTCTGTAAAGGCATCTGGGTGCATGAAAAGATGAGATGAAAGGGAGTCTGATGGAAGAGCTGGAAGCTGAGCACGTCTTTGCAAGCCAGCCCCCGTGACGTGAGGGATTTGGGGTCACAGGGCTGAGCGCAGCTGGGGCAGAGCTGCCAGCCCAGCCCCGGGCTCCCAGGCAGCCCCTGCCCTGCCCCAAGTGTGTGGCTGGCTGGGACACTGAGCAACTCTGCAAAATTAGCTTTATTTTTCAAAGCTGTTAATTTTTAGCTGCAATTTCCTATGGAAAAAATGTGGTTTCTATTCTGCGTGCCTGTCCCTCCACCCCAGCATTGGAATCTGTTCCCGAATTCCAGAAGAATCTGAACCAGGTCTGTTGGGAGTCTGGTGAGCTCACGGACCACGTGGAGCAGCTGATGGACCTGGGAGACCTTCCTTCACCAGCCACGATGCTGGGCACACCAGGAACGGCTCTCGGGCCCTGCTGGTGTTCAGGACACGCTGCCCTTCCCCATCCCCACAGCCGGTGACACCAGAGCTGAGCACTGTGTCGGTGGCACCCCTGTCCCCGAGTGCTGTGCGTCCCGGTGGGGCTGGTGACCGCCATCCTGCCGATGCGCACCGAAACCCTCAGCCGGGTGTGCTCCCGGAGGTCAGGTCTCTCGGCACTTTTATTCTCCTGGCTCCATCCCGGGTCTGTGGGGACCAACTTAAGTTGGTGGCAGTGCTGCTCCTGTCTCCCCTCTGTCCCGTGGGATCCCGCCGCCGTGGGACGGGCGGGAAGGGGCCCTTATCTCGCTTCTGCAGGCTGGGGCGCGAAGGCGGTGGAGGAAGCCACCAGGCAGGAGCCGGGGGAGCGAGGCCAGCAGTTGGCCTTCTTCATCCGCTCGGGACGGCGAGAGTGGAGGAGCCGCTTGCCAAAGCAAACTTCAGCCCTGACAATTGCCATTATTGTTAACACTGGTGCTGTGTTTGCACTGCTTTATCCCACGCTGGGGCTCCAGGGGCACAGCAGCTCCCCCCCACGCACAAGGCTACGGCCCTGGCCCTGCAGGAGACCACTGTGGCATGGCCCCATGGTGGCATGGGACACCAGGCAGGGCACGGCCCCGGCAGCCACAGCCCGAGCTGGGGCCGGGGCTTGCAGCACCCGTCAGTGCATGGCCACGGGGTGCAGACGGTTCCTTTGGCAATCCCAGTAAGGGACTGGTTTTAGACAAGGCTAACTGCCACACGGAAGGAGGGACGGTGCTGAAGTGATGCTCCTGCCTGAAATACCTCACCAGGGAGGTAAAAGAAAAGCTGAGCTGTAATCCCTACCCCAGGCCTGATACTGCAATGGCTGGGGCCATGCCCGGCTCCTGCAGCACGGCTGCCATCTCCCTGCCGCGCATCATTGACACCAGCCTCGGGGGCTGCAATTGCACCTTGTCTCGGGGGAACCCCCCGGGGTGCAACCCCCTGAGCTGGGCCCGGCACGGCTCTGGCCGGGGCAGCATCACCCCATGAGGAGCAGGGACCCACCGGGCACGGTGACACGGTGGCTGGGTGGTGATGCCTCTCTCTCTTTCCCCGCAGTGAATCCCTGTTGCTATTTCCCCTGCCAGCACCAAGGGGTGTGCATGAGGGTCGGCCTGGGCGGGTACGAGTGTGACTGCACGCGGACGGGATACTTCGGGGCCAACTGTACCTCCCGTAAGTCCCCCTCGCCCAGAGGACCTCCGGCACCCGCGGGTCCTGGGGCAGCACGCTGCGCCTGCAGCACGTGCTCTCGCCAGCAGCGACAGCGTGGGTGGGCCAGGGCCGTTAGCGGGCTTCGTTAGCAGGGCGAGTGATTTGCCTGTCTCTCTCCCCCAGCTGAGCTCTGGACGCGCCTCCACAACCTGCTGAAGCCCAGTCCTGCCTTCTACCACTTCGTCCTGACCCACTTCAGGTGGTTTTGGAACATAATCAACAGCACCTTCATCAGGGACACGCTCATGAGGCTGGTGCTCACAGGTGAGGGGTGGGAGTGGGTCTCGGGGTGCAGCAGGGCTTGGGGACCCCCCCAGGCATCAGCAGAGGTGGGGGTGCAGCATGGCTGCAGTGATGCTGAGCAGCTCCCGTGGGCACGGTGGGCATCAGGCTCGAGTCATCTCACCGGGAGACCCAGGGAGGTTGTCACCCCGTTGCTCCATCACCCTGTCACCCTGCCCGGGGGCGGCTGCCCGGCCGGGCAGCAGCGGGGCGCAGGGCATCATCAGGCTGGGCTGCCTGTGGG